GACCAGCGCTTTGGGCGGGGGGGGAGTAGCCGAGCGTGGGGGCGAGCTTTTACCCGGTGACCGCTTGTTGTTTGTAAACGAGCAATATTTGGACAGCGCCACTTTAGCAGAGGCAGTGGAAGTGTTGAAATCTGCGCCCCCGGGTAGAGTTTCTCTTGGAATCTGCAAGCCTTTGGTGGTAAGGACCGATTTTAACTTTTTTCTATCTGGTTCTATGACGTGTAGACTGGGCTGCTGTATTTGGGCGGGGAAATGCAGGGTAGAAGTACGTATGCATGTGGAAAGCAATGAAATTGCTGTGCATACACATCAGCATGACCAGAAGTTCTGGATAGCTGGAGAACGGACAGGTCAGCGTCCAAAATATCTGACTGGAAAACCAGTGTTCTCAAGTTCCTCCTGAAAGAACATCCACGTGGAATCAGAAGACATGTCTGGGCAAACCTGTGTGCACTAGCCCTATGCAGATGTGTATCGTCGTTCGAGCAATTCAGCAAATCGGTTAAGTACGTGCTGAAGTCCATTTCACTCTAAGACACTGCTAAGTGCTTGCCTGAGCTCCACTGACATCAAAGAAACTTAATCTGTTTGAAGTCAAGACTGTAAATGCAAGTAGAATTTCCTTTTTCTAGAATCAGGGCTTTGGAGCAGACAGCAGTTTACTTGAGAACACTGCAGTATTGTTCATCAAGGGCACCCAGGCAAGATTAATTAAAGTAAAGCACCATCTAATAGAAAGTGCTTGTAATTCAAACTGATAGAGGAGTGGTGAAATAGGAGTGTAGGAAGGCTTTTAACTGTATTCTTTCCTTTTCTAAAAAGTGGTATTTCATTGTTCATATCCCTGTATTTGTCTTTCATTCCTACGCATCTCTTTATCTTCTTACTGTATCTGTACTAATATCTTAAAAGAATAAAAGCTGTTGTCTTTGTCTTCTCCGCTTAGGACTTCCCTTTTTTATAATTCTGTAACTTTTTCCATCTCTTTCTCCCTTTCTGCTTCTCCCTCTCCCTTTCAGTTTACTGAAAAATGGGGAATTTTTTGTTTGCTTTCCTGACTCATCATTTTGATTGTCTGTCTTAGGGAGAAGGCAAAGAGGAGCAGAACATGCACAGTGTGGATTCCAGCAACGTTAAAACCAGCCCTGGGTCTCCAGAACCAATAGATAATAATTTCTCAATAATACTTGAAGCACCACAGGTATTTGGTTACTCTTTTGGTTCAGCTTATGTTTCTACAGACAGGAAATGATGTTTTAAAGGGAAAAACCAAAACCCTGTGTCCTTTACATAAGTACTGAATAGCCCTCAGGCTGGATTCCCTTTGCAAAGGACTCTAACAGCCAACTGTGTGCTGACTGTACTGGGAACACCGAGCACATGCACAGTGCTTCCCAGTGCAGCTCCCAGGCACCCTGTCAAATTTGCTGTGTCATGAAAATACCTCGGGTTACCTTGGATCTGAAATAGGAGTGCTGCATTATTAGCAGTCATAAGTAGTTGGTTCAGCTTTGTGAAGAAGGTAAGGAAGGGGAGCAGGACGCTTTTTATTGTAATGAAACAAACCAAAAAAGTAGTCTGGTGTATAAGGCAAGCTTGGATTCTGTTCTTCTTCACAGACTTCCTATGTGGTCTTGAGTGATTTCTTTAATTTCTTCCTCAATTCTCCTCTCATTTCCTGAGAAAGAATTCTGTTTATTCTGGGAGGATGAAGCACTAAAGATAGTGAGAAACTCAGATACCAGGTTAACAGGCAATAATACTGCAGTGCTGACCTGTGCAGACTGAGAGAGGTGTGGATGTTTCTGGATTTTCATCTGTTCTCAAGTGCTTTGCAGATCTGTATTAATTCGCCTTAGTAAATGCATTCTTTCTAGACCAGAAAAGGCAACACATACAGGATCATCCAGAATTGCAGCACAGTAATAAAAATAAGATTTTCTGGATTTCTAGATTTCCTTGCTGCTAACCGTGTCTATCTGTCTCTGGGCATAAGTGTGTCCCTATTGCTGACACAGTGTATTAGAACCAGCCAAAGGACAGGGTAGATGTAGGTATACTACGTAGCAATGAGCTTGGACATGATATTTACCGATTTGCACGATGTAAAATGAAGTTTGTTGTTTTCCGGGTGCGTAGGAAGGGTTCCTGGCAGAGCAATTAGTGCTCTGCCAGCTCAGATTAGTTAAAAATACTTAATAGCATTAGTTTTATTTAGGAAGCAGAGAAACAAAGCATAGTATTTTAAAGTCCTGATGAATGTGGAGCTGGAATGATCAGTTTGTACGACATACACGCAGAGGTATTTGCTTGTATTTTGTTTAACCTTATGTCTGACAGCATTGAGAGTACCCTGGAGCAGCAGTAAAAAATTTCCATCCATTCATTACCTTACCTGCTGATAGAGGAGCCAAGAGTGGTGTGTCATGATGGCTTCCACTCTTAGGCGCTAGCAGAGTGCTGACAAAGCTGGCTTTAAAAAAAAAGAAAGGGACCTGAAGGTTTTATCTGCTACAACAGTGGACTCGGCTGCCGTGTTTGCAGCGTTCCCGGTTCCGTGGGTAGTGTCTGCTACTGCAGTGCAGCAGGCTGCGATGAGTCGTACCTAAGGCTGTAGCAGGAGATGCTAATGCAAATTGCTGTGTGGTTTCTGAGCTAAGGCAACTGTTTTATGTAACGATGAAGTTGGTGCCTCTTCCAGGAGTGTTTGGAGAATGATGCTGCAGAAGTGAAATGAAACGAAGTAAAGATGGAGAGAATTAGAATCTCTTCAGACTGGGTATTTTTTGAGATCGAGGTACACAGGGCAAATAGATTAAAGGAACATTTAATGCTTATGACAAATGTGCTAATTTCTGGATTGCTAATGTTCTGCTTTCATGCCAGCTAGTATTACTGTATTGTTTCCTTATGCTCTTGCCTGCCTCTTGTTTTCTTTTCTGCCTCTCATTTGAACTGTGTGAACATTTTGGCAGCATCTGGGTTGGGTTTTTTTCCTTCTGCATTTGTACAAACCCTACGAAAGAGGATTCTGGCACTGAAGGTCAGACATGGTGAAGTACCATGGGGGTCGGGGAAGGGGCAGGAAGCAGAAATTAAAACATTTTGAGCGAGGATCCCTGAATCTGTAGATTGGCTTGAGCGTCTGGGGTCTCCGTGCCTTGGAGACCGGGTGTGGGCATATGTACTTGGTGGCCTGAAGAAAAGAGAGGAAGAACTTTCCGTGTGTGACAAGCTTGCCGGTAGTGGTGCAAGACATAAAATTTCAGAGACGCCTGTTCAGACGCGCTCCGTGAGCAGATGAATAGCACCCCGCTCAGTTTAGGAGAAACTGGGAGCGTTAGAATTTGGGGAGGCATGTGACAAATCCCAGAGAACTGATGAGCAAGATCTTCCAGGGTGGGTTTTAGTACCTTTTCTTTTGGTTTTATTGTTCCTTGTTGTGTGGTTGGAAGTCAGTAGGAAGTTGAGCACTCTTCGAAGCAGTATGTTAGATAATGAACAGTCAGTTAAGTCCTTTTTTTTTGAGGGTATGGGTCATTCATTTTTCCTCTCCCCCAGGTTCAAAATATTGTATGGATTACCTAAGGGAGGGACAAACGAGTGTGGCTTTTGCTTTGTGGGGTTAATTAATTGCTGATGCTGCTGCATAAGCAAACTCTCAGGCTGTTTTCTGTGTAACTGATGGTATAGTAAGAAATGTGCACGCATGCCAGGGGGTAGCAAATGAGTCTGAAGCACAGAGATGCTTCAGCTGGATTTATATATACCTTTTTCCTATCGGTTTTTTAGTGTTATTTAATAATTCCCACTCCCTAGCTTCACTCCAGATTGGTTATTCTGGATGGCCAGATATTCAACAATATCTAAACTGTGCAACTTAAATTTCTTTATATTTAAAAAAAGATCACAGTGTCTACTTTTGGTGTTAAAATCCTAAGTCAGAGCGTACATTTTCATTTTAGAAAAATGCAGAAGGTAGAAGATTTTCACTTTAAAAATCAGGATGTTCTTCTAATATAGGCCTAACATGAAGTGTGGTTCTAAAATTGTTAGCAAGAGACATTATGTAAGATCTCTCTTCCTGTCATGTTTTATGCAGGGTTTCAGAGATGAAACACCTGTTAAAGAAGAACTTGTTGATGAACCAATTTTGGACTTGGGAAGGTCATTTCAGCTGTCTCAAAATGACAGTGAGGATGAGAAGGAGTCCTGGGAGATGCATGAATTTCTGAAACCCAGGACAGAAGAAATGGAAGAAGAACGGGAAATGTTGGTAGATGAGGAGTATGAAGAAGATTCAGACTTCCTGAAATATAATGAATCATGTGGACAGAAGGCGACTTCAGGGAGGAACCTCGATACAGAGCAATGGGCAAAGCAACTTGAGACTACTGAAATAAGTCCGAAACAGTCCCTGGAATATCCATTCAGTGCAGATCAGATGGTAAGGAATGCTGTGCTGGTCTCGGTGCTCTGCCCTGGCCATGGGACCCGTACCTCAAGGCAAATTCCAGACCTAAACTCTCTGAGGAGTCCTTCCAGTATTTTAATTCCTAGATGAGATCTGGGTGCCTCTAACAGACACGGGTCTCTCCTTTTGTACGTTTTGGAAGATTCTCTGGGTTACTCGGTGTCTGTATATTTAACTGCTCAAATGAGATAATGTGCTGTGCTTGGTGCATTTACGGGCATCCTGCACTTGTGTCTTCCTTCCCCTCTCCGGCCTGTGGGCTCAGTTCTTCTTTGCAAGCTGCACTAACACGGGGCATGTCAGTAATAGGAGAACGGCACTCGTGGTTTTGATAGTCCAGGGCCTTCAGCAGCAACGTCAGTGACAGGAGCTCCCTCTTTTCCTCATTATTTTTGATCCATATTGGTTCCTCAGGCCAGGTGGTAGTGCAGTTGGGTGAAAAGTGATGTGGTGGAAACAAGTTTAACAAGCATACTGGTGGATGAAGGAGTAGGAGGGGACAGGGCTTCAGGTAAATTGTAAAACTCATATGCCCTCCTAAAGTATTCTGAGAATTTTTTTTTTCCTCACCAAAAAAAAAAGCGGTGTCATCAGCCTTCCATGCACCAGCTTCCAAGACGTATGCTTCTACATGAAAAAACTGAAGCGGAAAAGGTTTTAGTATCAGGGCCGCAGAGAATTCCAGGTTTCCTTTGGCTTGTCCCCTTATGCACTGTGTGTATAAACAGGCTAAAATGCAGCTTCTCGTGACAGTTTCGTACCAGAGTGCACAGTATTAAATTTATACATTTGTTACCTAAAACCAACAGATGAGCAAGAGTAAAGACCTTCCTGTCTGGATCAGATGAGTAGAAAGAGACAGTTACTTGACATTACAGTTGCACGTAACCTTTTTCATGCCCCCGCTTAATAAGCACGTGAACAAGCAGTTAGCATTTCAGAGTTATCTGTATAAATATGAATGTAGTTGAGAAAATATGCATCTAAAATTGATTGTTCATGTCAAATACCCCTTCATAAGTTGACACCATTGCTTTCTAACTCTAATTACCTTTTTTCTCCTCGGTGAAGTGTGAAGAAAATGCAGGTGTAAGTTCACTGTTCCCTGGAACCACAGCACACAGTGGCTACCAAAAAGACATGCTTGATACTGAAACTCCCCAGTCTGGAGCAAAAATCAAGATGGATTTAGGTTCGTAAGAAGTTTTTTCTTATCTTACAATTTCATATTTACAAATTTAAATATTACACCACAGCACAAATCACAAATCCTTTCAAATGATAAAATATTCAAATAAAGTATTCTGCAGGCTCAAGACAGTCTGGCTTTAAACAGGTTTCAGCTTCATGATCTTGCTTCCTCCTCCAAATCCTTACCTGGAGTTGTCATATTGATATTGAAAATGTTATTGCAAGTTGTCACAGGTGATATTGAAAGTGGCTGCAGCTCCTGCGTGTGGAGAATCACTTTCTTTGTGTGGCCATGGGCACAGCAGGACTCCCTCCATAGGAACAATAGCTCATGCCCATAATTTCTCTCAGGAGTTTGTCTCAGCCATTTTTGATTGCTGATTTCATAGATTTTTTGCACTTTAAAAAAAATAAAAGTGGGAGGCCAAATTTTGACACAACCAAAATTTGTGAGTGGACAATATCTGTGGTAGCTATTGTCCCATATTCTCATTATGTAATCTGGGCTCAGAAGCAAAGTTTCCCCTTGTCAGATGGCCAGAGATGGATGGTTAGAATTTGGTAGATCACCAGGGAACTACATTTATCAGCCTGCTGAGGTAGCACTCACCACTGGCAGAAAGGAGGTTGGGTTGTTTCCTCTGTCACCCGTGTCTTGTGCAGCAGATGCTGTGTGAGCTGCGGTGCCAGGCTGACAACTCGTGCGAGGAGCTCTGGTAGTTCAATTAATGTTGATACTCGGGTCACCAAAATGACACCGGTCTTCCCCAGCGTGATGGGGTTCCGTGCTGGAGCAGGGCTTTGCACCGCACTCCCTGCGTGCAGGATGGATTTGCTGTTTCTCATCATGTGCTCTTGTGAGGCACGTCTGTCACGGAAGTTGTACCGGAGCATCTCGCAGTTCCTCAGAGGTTTGGTGTTTCCTGTCGGAAGCAGGGTGCTACAGCAGTGTTTAGTGTGGTTTGAATTTCCTTCAGAAATAAGTGTTCCGTATCAATAAGCCTCTTGATTGTCACACAGCATCTGCATTTGGAGCATGGTGAGCTAAGGGGCTTATTTCCACAGATGGTAACTGGTAGGTACCGGGAAGGAGGAGGCAAAAGCTTACATCTACTCCTTTTCTTCTTTAGGTACAAAGCTTCGGATTGACTCACAAGGACCTGGACTTGCTGTTGATCTGAAAGTTGTTGAAAAGGAAAAACTACAAGGAGAAGATGACGTTTTTTCCAAGAACACGGAATCTGGGAGAGTTACCACCATAGCTCAGTCTAGAGCAGCATTGTGCAGGTATAGACAAAAATCTCAGTTTTCAGATGACTTTCAATTCACACTCTTAATTTTCTTCTTGCTTTACTTGGCTGACTAGTCAGCAAAAGCTGTGTGAAGCAGTAAGGTGTCACAGATGGCCAGCTCTGTGACTGCCCATGGAGCTGAATTTTGCCGTACAATCTCACTGAATCTTTACTTCCCACGTTTCCTCTCCTGGGTACTGGGACAGAAAAGTGCAAGTGGCTCTGCCACCTGCTTCACTTACTTCACAGTGAGGAGGGGAGTAGGAATGCAGCCTGGAGAAGGATGTCACCTTTCTGGCAGCATTGGCCATTACTCCTGAAGGAGCTCTCCCCATTGCTCCTCATCACAGCTCTGTTCTCTTGAGGTTCCCTTTCCCTTGCTCTTCCTTTTGGGAAGAGCAGTTCAGCCATGGCTCTCAGGCCTGTGCAGGAAATTTTAGTCTTCTCAACGCCACTGAGAATCCTTGTGCTGGCACTGGTTGTAGGTATTTGCCACTTCTGTCAAGTGTCCCACACTCCCCCACACCAGTGTTGGGTGAGGGATTTTGGGGCCTGTTGATTCAGGCCCCCTCTACTTCTCTAATTCATCTGTAACCTTCCCTCAGAGGGAAAGCAGCTCAGCAATAAGGTGAGGGGATTATTTCTCCAGCACAACATCCAACTTCCTTTTTGCAGTTTAAGAGTAGCCTTTAAGCTCTCAGGATCTCCAGAAAATGTGTGTGAGGCTGTATTGTTTCAGCCTTTCTGTGAGGGCATGCAATTCCATACTTCTGTTCCTATTCTGTGAATAGGTGAGTCACAGTATAAAAGTTTAATTAGCACCCTGTTCTGGGGCGTTTAATGGAACGCACCAGATCTCTTCTCCCAGTTGCATCATGATCTGCTTTCCGGTCACCGGGCTGCTTTTATCATGTTTATATCTGGCTATAAGAATCACACCATATTTATCAGAAACTACATGTTAATTGCTTAAATAGTCATTTCGAATGAGTAGATGCAGTGCGGATTTGTATTTCACAGGGCAGCTTATAAATTTGGTCTACCCATCGTGTTTATTTCTGGAGCATTCCTCAAGTACATTTAAACCTAAATACAAAAATTCCTGTCTGGTCTGTTGACTCTGCACATTTGGTTTAAGCTGGACAGTGTGAGAAGGCGTTGCTGTCTCACTGCCAGATACAAAATATGCAAGGAATTACAACCTGGCATGGGTGATGCCTTTTTTTATTTTTTATTTCTCCCTTCCCTCTGTCCCCATTTAGTGAATTGCCTGAGAGAGAAGAAGGCGAAGGAGAAGAAACTCCAAACTTCAGCCACTGGGGACCACCACGGACGTACGTTCACGTGATTGCATCAGTTCTTCCCGTTTACCTTATGTCTTTTTTCTGTGAGCCCAAATAGTTCTCGTGGCTTTTCTTTTCTCCGCTCCTCTGCCAGTAACTTAAGGGTACTTGTGTACCTTGGGCTTTCTTAGACACAGTGAATGTTTAACAGATGTTCCACAGAATTCTGCCTTCTATTTATACAGCTGACTTGGGAAAGCTTGGCAGGTTTACGCTGTGGATGACCTACAAGTTCTTGCTCATTTAATAACTATTAGGTGTGAACAATGCACATAGTGCTGCTGTCTCCTTTTCCACGGGTTCTCTGCTAAACTTAACGGCAGAATTCCAAATTCCCAAGCCAGGTTTTAGCCACATCCTTGTTGTATTGTTAACATTTTTAGGTGAATTGGTTTTATGGTCCTAAGTAAAATATGATCAGACAATTTCTGCTTAAGCTGATTAATACACATCTGATGCCCTGAAGTCGCCTTCAGACAGTTGTATGAAACGCTCTGGTTGATTGTTTGTCTAGCATACCACTTGCAGTATTTGCCATTTTCAGACAGTTTGCTCAAACTGCAAGAGGATGAATGTTTACTTGCACACCTGCCTGTTTTACCCTGAGTTTTTCTGAAATAAAAGCCTATTTGGCAGCAGAATTTTGTTCTTTTTGTTGTGTGAGGTCTGTGGAGGGTAAAAAGCCACCTCTATTCAAGCCAAAAGCCTGAGAATGCTCTCATCCCTTTACTAGATCTTCCTGAAAGACCAGAAGCTTACATTTATTTAAGGCTTTGTATTTATAGTTTTAAAAAAGCTGTTTCAAGCTGTTAAACGACCGCATGTATTTTTTCAGCGTTGAGATCTTCAGAGACCCTCATGTGTCTCTTGGAATCAGTATTGTTGGTGGACAAACTGTCATAAAGCGCCTGAAGAATGGAGAAGAACTTAAAGGGATCTTCATCAAACAAGTTTTGGAAGACAGCCCAGCAGGAAGAACAAGGGCTTTAAAAACTGGAGATAAAATACTTGAGGTAAATGCAGATAAACCTACCTTTTCATTCTGAGAAACAAAGATTGACTCAAACAGCTCTGGGAGGAGAGAGAGGCAAAATACTGCCACCCCTTCATGAAATAGGAATGACACTGTGTTTTGAAAACCAAAAGAAACCCCTGATGTCATCCTGTCTTTTTTTAAAGTCTCTCTGTGGAGATCTTAACATTCTCCTCTGTATTTAAGAAAAGAGAGGTCCTGCTATCTGCTGGGGAAATGAAAAAAAAAAAAAAGTGTAGTTTTCCCATATAAATGAGTAACAAGTTATAACCTATCTGCAAAAGCATAAGTTATAATATATAGAAAACCAGACTCTGGTTTGCTATTTTGTGTGTGTTAATTTGGAATAGGTAACACTGGTTAACTACTGTCTGGGCGAAATCCTTGATTCTGGCAGGGGCTGCGGGGGAGAAGGCCATTCCTGGCTCCTCTCTGGCTCTGTGTTGATTTTATTTACTCGTTTTTCTACAAGCGAAGACTACCAAATCCGGGTTCCCAAGCTGACGGTGCCATTCTTGTATGTGCTGTAGGTTGGTGTGGGAAGCTTTGAAAAATTGTTTCCAATCAGGTTTAGTTCTCAAACGGGTAAAAACTGACAGATTGTATTATACCTACCGTTATATCTAAGCATTTGCTGACAGTCTTACGTTTCTGCTTTGGGAAACGTGTGACCGGCTGTTAATTATGAATACTCAGAAATGGTCTTTTCCTTAAACCATCATGGAAATATACTTTAAAAATAATCACTCTTGACTACTTTTGGTACCTTCCTCAGATAATGCTAAATCTTCTGTGATGGGTGTGATCTCTTGTAACGACATTGTGCCAAAACCAAGCTGCCTATTAAAAATCAACATTGCTTATCAGGTTTCTGGGGTAGACCTACAAAACGCCACACACGAGGAAGCAGTAGAAGCTATCAAGAATGCGGGAAATCCTGTTGTGTTCGTAGTTCAGGCTTTGTCTAACATACCGAAAGTAAGTTTATTTGGTTTTATTCCAAAGTTTAATAAATGTGTAATACTCATTTAAACTTGGCTAAATTTCTTTCAGCAAATTCCATCAATTTTCATGTCCGTCCTTTCTGTCAGAGTTTCTGCTTATAGACCACGTGATTGATTGATTACTTTTCTGGCCTGATTTGAAGCCTTGTTTCTCTGATTTACATCTGCTTGATTTACATCTGTTGAGTAGGTGTTAATTCAGTTCTCCCACCTGTGTCATTGAGTCTGGCCCTGTGTTTCTCTGACGTAAATCAAGCAGATGTAAATCTGTTGAGTAGGTGTTAATTCAGTTCTCCCACCTGTGTCATTGAGTCTGGCCCTGTGTATTTTAATTTGTCCATATTTCATAATCTAAAAGTATCCTGTGACCCAAATGAACAGAAGTGTAATTAAAATTAGCCAGATTCACACTAGCAACTCTGTGTAAAATCAAAGGGACCTGAAGTAGTTATTTGGGAGCAAGTGAAATTCCAAGAGATTCAGACGCCTCCTCATCTGCAAGACCAAGACAAGAAACCCTTTTCTGCCTTAGTAAGAAAATGCATACGATTCCACCTGCCATGAAGCACGCACAGAGCCCCCAAGACTTCTGTGTACTTTCAGTGTAATCCGACAGTTTAATTGAGAATTTTAGTGGATGACTAGACTTGAGGAGACCTTTTTGACAACTGTAGACAAATCTGGCCCAACTGTATTCACTATTTTTCCAGTGTCCCAGAGAGTCTTTCAAAACCTATGGAGACTTTGACCAGCTATGCTGGGAAGGTGCTCAGGCGGTGATGGCAAAGGTCACAGTGATGGTAACACAGTTGGCTCCCTCTCGGTATCAGCTCTTTCGCAGAAAAGATCCAAAAATACTGTCAGAACGTTCATGTTTTCAGCTGCCTCCCTGACCCTGGCTTTCCTCGTCGATGTGGAGAGATCAAGGCAGAAATGGATAACTTGAAATTTGAGTTGCTTTGCTTTGAACTGTCGGCTGTAGGAAACTGGACATTCACAGACTTTCAGCAGCGTCACACAGTCCTGACTCCCATTCACAAAACAGGGTGCTGCCGGAGGAGCTGGAATGTATTACACTGGGGAAGAATAAGGAGCAGGAAGGAGGAATATTAGATAGAGGCTAAACTCGCTCCCTTTTATAAGGTGTCTGTGTGCATGGGCCCTGGCCTCTGTCTGAATCGCTGAGAACTGACACTCCGGGAGCACACCCTGAGCTCTGTGTCAGGAGTGTACATCCATGTTGTTGACTTCACAGTAATGTTTAATTGAATGAAGGGATGGGGCTGGATATCAAAACAGTGAGCACTGAAAAAAGTAGAGAATGTTTGTAGATTCAGTAAAACAGTGCAATTTAAAGACTGCACTGCAATGCCCTTCTCTTCGGTGCAAAATTACGAGTGCGCTGGGTAGCATTATTGTTGTCATTACCTAACCTTTGGATGTTTGTTTTCAGGCTATAATGCTCTTCCTAATGTGTGTAATATATGTGTTGTTTTTCAGGTGGTTTCTGCTGTACAGCCTAAGGGAGTCAAAGTCAGCAAAGATCAGGGTGCAGACAAAGAAAACACGAGTGAAAAGGTATTTACTCCGTTCAGTGCTATACCCAAGCTGTACTAAATCAGACGGTATAATAACATGCATTACAACTCTATGATGAGCCCCACCTGAAGTCTGAAATGAAATTTGAAGTGTTTTGTTGAAATATCTTTGAATCAAGTACCTTTTGCCAAACTGCTGCCAAATACAAGTCAGGCTTCTGACAAATGTTCTGTGGGTCTCCCCTGGGTGCTGAAACCCTGTACTTACTGCAGCTCTTCGCTGGCATCTTTCTGGAAGTACCTGCTTTGCTCCATGTGGAGGCAAATGGATTCTCTTTGTTCAGTAGAAACAGAGGAATAATAACATGTACACAAATTATATCCTTCATGTGAGGCTGGCTGAAACTCAGTAAAGTCATGTTACAGCATAATTAAAACCCCTAAGTCTCCTACGTTTCCCATTGCTGTGTAAAACAAGGAAATGACCGAGGGATCTGTAGCTGGCCAGCTAATTGTGAAGCAAGTTCTGCACAGTAGCTTGCAAACAACTTCACAGCAGATTTAAAAGAGAAAAGATGTTTCCTCTAAATAAGTGGATTTGTTTTCATTGCTGTGATAAGGGAAAAATTTAAATTTCTCATTCCCAGCCAGATTGCTGTAATGGCCGAGGTATTTTCCTGTGGAAACTGTGGTGGCTGATGAGCGCAGGTCAGGTACTTTGAGGGTGACGGAACTGGAGGAGCAGAGACAGAATTAGTGCAGACCATAACTTTTCCCCAGCGCAGCTTACCGTGCTGACTGCGCATACGATGAACGTAGTAGTCTGGTGTGTGGTGGGTCACTGAGAAGGCCTTCTTGCCTCCAAAAGTTTGTGTGAGACTCCTTTCAGATCCTGTCAGATACAGAAGCTACGAGGCTCAGTTATTAAAAAAAAAAAAAATAAAGGTGTTGAAGTCATGCTTTCATGCCAGTGGATAATGCTTACAATGGAGCAGTGACAATCCCCTTTTCTTGGTTTTGTTATCTATATTTCTAATCTCAAAAGTGCTCATCCTCCAGCAATGTGCTGCCTTTAATCTCGAGGACTCCGGCGTGTTGCATTCTGCAGCGTTTGGAGGTTAAAGAGGGAGACTAATCTTTTTCAAACCTTTTTCATCTATTGGTGCTGTAAACTGGTGGGTGGAATACAGAAGAGCTTTAGTGCATAAATATGTGGCTCCCTTTTCGCTTTGAACGTGGATTCACAAAGCAGCCATACTGTGCTACAGTAAGGGCATCTCGGAGTTGGGAAGAGGTGCTATTAGTGGATTACTAGGCTGCATCCCTGTGGGGAATCAATGATATTTCTAGTCCAGTCTTCAAAGTGTCACAAAAGAGTTTGGTTTGAAAGCAGCCACATCCAGCTGGAAAATCTGCCTGTTCCTGTATGATGAATTATCCTTTCAATACTGCAGGTTTTCTCTGATTTGGTGGTGTTAATCCTCCTTTATTGATCTGTTTGTTTAAAAAAACATCACTTGAAGTAATTTATATAAAACCACTTAAAACAATTGAGCTTCGTGTGGACAAACAAGCATTTATCAGCAGCCCTGACTAACTGGGGAGGTCCTGGTTGACCGGAAGTTAGCAAATGTGACACCCGTCTACAAGAAGGGCCAGATGGGGATCCAGGGAGCTTACGTGCCTGTCAGCCTGACCTCGGAACGGGGGAAGGTTATGGGGCAGATCATCTGGAGTGCTATCACATGGCATGTACCAGACAGCCAGGCCATCAGCCCAGTCAGCGTGGGTTTATGAAAGGCAGATCCTGCTTGGCTGGCTTTTCAGCGGGTCAGGAGGGACAGGAGAGCCATAGCAAACTGCTGGATAACCTTAGGTAATTTCACACAGGCTTTCCAACAAAAGTTTGAGGTCATAAAAAGCCAGATGCCAACATTTAGACTAAGGGCAATTCCTAAATTATAGTGATACTACAGATTTGTCACAGGCAGCTGAAAGTGGGGCGGCAGGTTTTCTGTCTTTACCTGCTTGGGAACGTAGAATGCGAGTCCTCATGGTTCCTGAATCTCCTGGGTTTTGCACAGTTCTACCTGTGTTGGCATCAAGCAGAAAGTGGGAGGCGAATTTGGTGTATTGAATACTTTGGGGAAACAGCTGTCATGTTTCCAAGTGCTCTTATTATCCACTCTACTGCTATTGGGTTGAATTAATTTCATTTATTATTGTTGTGCTGTCTTCAATGCAGCACTTTCCTGTAATGTTTTTAAAATGGATGTGATGATGTATATTTAATCTCACGAGGTTTTCTACGTAGCTTGCATTGCAGTTTGCTAGTTAGACTATTCTATACAACTTTAGGCTTAAGATTTTAGAAATCCATATGCAGGTTCAGCTTTCATTGTAACAGTGAAAGATTTTATTCCGAGTTTGATGTTTGGGTGTTGAGTTGTATTTCCCAGCTGCAGAAGAAATTAATGACGGGCATTCTGGTTGCCCTAATGGCATATCGTATTCGGTGTTGCCTTTCTAAAGTGCATCCTGCTATTAGTAGTGAGGTTGCATGGGATAGGGCTGAATGTAATTTAGCTAAATCCTGTAGCGACCTAAGGCACGATCCAGTTACTTGGAGCTATAAAAACAGTTTCTCAGATGGACCAGCGCCTGTTTTCATTGGATTCAGAGCCTACTCTCTGTGCCTGCTATGTACCGCTACATGCATCATTATAGGAGATGCCTGTATTTATGTGAGGTAATAGAATTTTATTGTAAGTTATAATGCAAAATCTTTTTTAGATTTAAGCTGAAGTATAGATGAACTGTTATGTTTAAATACTCGTAGATGCACTAGGATGACTGAGTTCTTATTTTGTTTTTAAAGATTTGGCTTTATCAGTATCAGGCAATTTTGTTGTTGAGTCTCTGATGATAAATGAGCACAACTTAATGTTTATTTTTAACCCTTGATTAATGCTCACACTTTCATGTTTGTGATGGTACATGAGTGTTTTGTCAACGAGGTGTGCATGAATAATTGTATTTTCTTTTTTTGATGTTCAGTGTCACTTCATGTCCTGATTTCTTGCACAAAAAGCCTATGTTGCAGAATTTTGCCTTGCTATTAAGTGTGGTGTATGTGCACATAGGGTGCAGTAGTCCATGGGATTTTTTTCCTTGTGCCTGGAGGTTACAAAACATGTAACTATTTGTCTTTGAATCCATTAGAGAAAATATGGGGCTCCGCCTCCAATGAAACTGCCACCTCCTTATAGAGCACTTGAAAGGCTGCATGCAGAGGACGATGACGTGGAAGAAGAGGAGGATGAGGATGCTTGTGCAGAGAGTGAGTAGTGCCACGACCGCTATGTCAGATTACATTTATGGAAAACAATCAGATTGTGATAAGCGTACCTGCCGTTTATTGCTTGTCTTATGGGGAGTAGCACTCCGTGTGGCAATAGCATGGAATCCTCAGCCTTGTTCTTACCAAGGGCTACTGATTTGTAACTTGGATAGTCTTCTCTTCCCAGCCGGGCTCCTACAGCTCAGCTCTTCCAAAGAGACGTAGCAAGGGCTCTGTTTGTTTTCAGTCTAAAGATGCGCAAGCGACGTCTGGAGGACTTGCTTTGGCAGTGATGGCAGCAGTGAAAGGCAGATGTGCTTACAGCTGTAAAGCAGTGGTACTCGAGCAGGCGTAGGTTGAGAGCCACTGGTGCATAGTCCTTGTCCAGAAAAGCCTGCAGTCGAGTTCAGACAGTGCTCTTCAAGCGAAATACTTCCATTTAAAAAGAAAAATCTGCTGATCTGTTGTTTCGGCACTGTACTGAAAAAAAGGATCCCTGTTTTTGGTAGCACCTTTTATGAGAAAGGTTCTGCAATTGTCCACTTCTGGGTTTTGCAGTAAATTATGATGCTGTGCCCTCTGTGGAAGAGTAGAGACCTGAAGGAGTAGGATGCGGTGCAACTTCAGAGCTTCCATCAGCACGACTTAGATTCCAGCATACTGCTTGCCAATTAAAACTTCGGATAAATGGAATATTATCTATAGCTTATCTTCCAGTAAAGCATTTAGGAATACTAAATTTGCAGTTAGCAGTCCTAAATTATTTTCTAAAATTAGTTACCTTCTGTTTTTTTCTTTATACTCGCCTGCACCAAATCAGCACACATGTGGGGGCTTTGTTGGGGTTTGGTTTGTGGGGGTTTTTTGTTTTGTTTTTTTTCTACAGTGATTTTTCCCATCATCTTTTGTCTTGGAGAGGTTTTTGTTTGCACTAGTTATGGGTAAGCCAAAGCAGAGAGATGCCTTTGTAGCTTTTGACCTTGAAGCAACCATGGCTCCCATTCACAGTGGAAGCTCCTAATTTGGGGCCTGCTGGTGGGAAAGCTCTTCCAGCTGCTCTTGCTGATTTTCTTGGCAATGGCGTGCCATTGAAGCTGAGATAATTAATGAGTTTGGTTGGTTTGTCACTTTTAGGGCTGCTTTGGTGGAGACAAGAAGGATTTTTTGGAAGGCTGTTCTCATGGAAACAGCAATGAGGGTGCAGAAGCAGGGCGTTCAGCTCTGCCTCTGTTGCTTTAAGGGAAAGCTGCGATTTCATTAACTAACAGAGGTTTTCCCAGAATTTTTCTCCCTTACTGAGTTTGTCATCTCATCCATTCGGAGTTTGCCACAGTTACCTCAAGGAGGTTTTCCATTGTTTTTGTGGGGAGTGGTGGTCAGGAGGAGCAATTGACTGCAGACTCTCTGGATGTTGGATTGAATATATCTTGGGCTTTTAACCAACCCTGTCAACTTCCAGTCGTAGCAAACTGATTGCAGCTTGTTACCAAAGTCCCAGGTAAAGGATATATTTGACAAGTAGCCTGACACCTGAGTCATCTAATGAGGATATTCCTCAGTCTGAGTGCTTGCTAGACCTAAGACTTTGCACAGAAATAATTTCTTATTGATGGGCTTGGTCATTTTTCAGCTGTTCTGCCATCCCTAACGGTATTGCTAGCTGAGTCTGATAGCTGAAAAGGTAAAGCTACTTCTGAAACCGAATTCATGTGTCCTTCCAGATTCGGCAGCAGCAAGCAGACCTGCTCAGGTGAATCTCCTTCTCTCTACCCTTCTTACTGACTGAAGTTGAATGTTTTGCAATAGCCATCTTTTCCATAAATGTTGGAAAGCCACGATAAGCATTTTCCATTTTATTATTCGCCACCTCATTCTATTTCTTTTTAGTAAAAAAACCAGGCTAAGGAAGCTTAAACTGAGTTTGGGCCTCAACCCTTGAAGTAAAAAGCATGTTAGAAACGATCTAACTGTGCCTAATGATATTAAGCATCTTGGCAGCTGTGGAATGGGCTTTTGCAGAGTCTCTTCTTTGTGATTACTTGAATAAAGTTTTCTCTGTAAATTACAGTACAGGTTTGTTTTTGTGAACTACGTGATGTTCGTATCTTCTGTCCTGATTCTTGAGTGCCTTTCCCAGTAATTTCAGTCCAGGCTGGTACTTGCCTTTTTGACACTGTCCAGTTTCACACTGATCAATTCCTCACCCACATATCCTACTAATTCTACTGCTTTTGTAAACTTATTAGCTAATAATTTTTGAGCTTCACTGAACTAGATTTGTTATCTTCCTTATTTAAAAGATCAAGTATCTTCAAAGGAAGAAGTGGCATCAGCCCAAGTAAATCCATGTCACAGCCTCTCCTTTCATTTACTTTCCGTAGTTCTCAATCCGTGCGGTAGCGTGGGAGGCCTTAGTGGGCATTTTGAGGTGGGGCAGCTGTTACATCTGTACTCTGGTTGTGCTCCTGATGGATTTGATTCTATTTGTCAGCATTCTTACTAATACCACTGCAGCGTCACGAACCCGCTGATCATTTTCTTTCATGCTCCAGAAGTACTTGACTTGCTCCACCTGACATTTTTTTGCCTTGCATGTCACTTCTTTGGACCCATGCTTTCAGCTTTTGTCTCCATCGTTCCCCACACTGCAAAGGAAAGCAAAGCACTGTTAGTCTCCCTACCACGTCTGGAAAATTCTTCTTTCCTTTCTGTCCCCATCCATGCTGCCTCTCAGCCTCCGAGTTTTGTCCGTTTTCCCCTTCAAGTGCCTGAATAACCTTTTGGTGTTGCTTTCATTTCCCCTGTGGGATTTAAATCCACTTGCCTTTTGGCAATGCTCCCTTTTATTCCTGCTTTTCCACCACTGAAATGGTGGATTCATTGCTGACTTGTTGGAACCTTTCATTGCTGACTTGTTGGAACCGACAGTCATTTTTTGTAATGTGCTCCCTTTTCAGAGGTTGTTCTTGATCTGAAAAGGGTGAATCCTTGTTGGGAGCAGAACTGCTGGGTAGCTCCTGGTTTAGAGAAATTCCGGACATCCTCCATGTTTCTGTGGTTTAAGAAGTTTAAAGAAGTTCCAGGTGGTTTGGTGGTGGTTTTTATTCCAAATGTGTCTTCTTGCACCCAAGACCCTTAGTTTCAGACCGGCTTCTCCTTTGTATTTCAGTTTCGTCTGAACCCATTACTTCCAATATTATTTTCTAAGTTTTAGAGAGTTTTTTGCTAAACTCTGGAGGCAAGTTGAAAATGGTATTTCCTCTTGGTTTATTTCTTCTGGTGGTACTGTCAAATGTTGGTCAGTATTCAACTCTAACCCCATCTGATGTGGCTTTGGTTTACTCTTTGCTTTGACTTTGCTGTTTTAAGACTTTAAGTTTACACTGCAACAGGCGCCTTCAGTATGATGCATCTTACAGGCCTGAAAATGTTACAACGTGGGTTTGGAGTTTTTCCTCCCCACGCTGGAAGCGCTTCCACCGTGGCAGAGGTTATTTTGGAGGCAGTCCATCTCCACGAAGAGGTTCTTCAGGCTTCCCAAGCCTTACAACCATCAGGTTTTGAATGGGATTTTTTAAAAACCAAAACAAGTACAGGAGGGGAGTGCATCCAGAGGAGCTAGTTGTACTTGGAAGCAGCTGTGCTACGGGCTGGTGTGTCCCCTTTGGGTGGCGGACGGCTGTAGGTGTGCCCCAAGAATCTGCTGGTAGACTAATGTGCACCCTGTCGCAGCTTATTGCTCTAATGAGGGGTTGGTAGTAAAAAGCAGCAGAGGAAATGGATGGGCAGAGTAGCTTGTAATGGAATGTTTGTAAGGTTTTCCTTGGGGCATTCATAACTCTGCAGTTCAGATACACGTCTGTGATTGAGTTGAAGCTCGCGTGGAAAAGACCTCAAAAACCATCATAAGAACCCTAAAAAGACAACTGTTGAAAGAACTTGGAATCCTTACTTTGGCGTTGTATTTTTTTACTGAAATCTTTTGTCCCGTTAGTAGACTGAGATTGATCTGGTTGGTTTCAAATAAGCTTAGAATAATAAAAATAGATAATAACAAAAGATTTGTGAAAGGTGGTTAAGATAATGGACTAGATAGTGCTGCGCTCAGACTTCCTGTCTGCAAGGATATTTAACGGTATCTAATAAGGGGATAATAATGCCCCCTTTCTTTTATTTTGTCTCTAGATAATGTAGAAATCAATGAAGCTGTAGGAAAGCATTATGATTTATCTCCCTAAAATGCTTTTTGAGGAATGGTGGTTTCTCTACCAGAGCAAGAGACTCTAAAACCCCTCTGGGGTTTTGACTTCGCGTTCCCCGTTGGGATAAATCCCTGGCTGTGTCGGGGGGAAGAGGGGAGAGTCTGTGTGTGCTCACGTGCGTCGGTTGGGTCGGACAAACCCACGCGGCCTGTTTGCTAGGTTGGGGTTAGAAGGCGCTTGGGCCCCCACCCCCCCTGAGGTTTTAGCAGCTTCCGTAGTGTCAGTGACGCCCATGCTCGCAGCAGAGGACGGTCGCTTTTGTTAAAAACAAGGTGGGAAAAAAGGGATCGAGTTCAGTTGAGGCTTTGTAGAGGTATGGTTGAGTCTACGGGATAAAACCCCATGACCTCAGGAGGTGTCTCTGTACTGCTATGGGCAAAAATGGGAAAGCAATCGCTTGCCTTCTGGAGAAGTGCCAGAATTATTAACAGTGGCTAGATCATAGAATCATAGAATGGTTTGGGTTGGAAGGGACCTTAAAGATCATCTAGTTCCACCCCCCCTGCCATGGGCAGGGACACCTTCCACTAGACCAGGTTGCTCAAAGCCATATCCAGCCTGGCCTTGAAGACATCCAGGGATGGGGCATCCACAACATCTCTGGGCAACCTGTCCCAGTGCCTCCCCACCCTCTCTGTGAAGAATTTCTTCCTGATATCTAATCTAACCCTCCCCGTTTTCAATTTGTACCCGTTACCCCTTGTCCTGTCACTACAGGCTCTTGTAAAAAGTCCTCTC